TTTTGCGGAGATGACTGTAACTATGAATGGAACACCTCAAGGAACAGTTCAACTGGCCTCTAACTAGTATTTTTTTGCTTGCTACCTAGTTGGATCTTGAATGAGACACTGAGATAGGTTCTTCACCTCTTGCACATATTGAGAAGGCTGTTATTAACTTGAAACAAGGGAATGTAGCACAGCTAGATGGACATAAAGCAAGGATGTTTAAGGACGGTCATTGACAATCGGATACAAAAGGCTCAATTGGCTTTAGCCAACTTACATCCCTTATGGTACCGCTGTAATATCCGATTGCTGATCACGGGTCGAGTGTAGTGAGCAGGTAGTTTGCTTCTTCCTAGTCTATGGTTGTGAAGTGTGGCTACTAAATGTAGAGGATATAAGGCAGCTCCAGGTGTCCGGCCACTTTTAATTTGAAGCATAGATCGTGTCCCGGAACTACCACGTCAGTAATGCAGAAGCCAGGTGTAGAATCTACGTAGACATGGGTCAGTCAATGAGGTTGTGAACCTCTATCGGCTCTGGTGGCTGTGACATATGTTATGCACACCTATTCACCGTCAAAGTCATCGTGGGACGTCAAGTGAAATAGGCTTAGGTTGGAGATTCTTGGTGACATGGTAGAAAATCAGTCACAGTGGAGCATACGTAATTAAGCGTCACAATTTTCCAAAGTGAACATTTTTCACCAATATATATTTGTCTTTTTTCTCCTGCCACACACTTTTTTGTACCTTAACATCAATCCTCTACCTATTTTGTTTTTGCGTGCTGGTGTGAAGTGTGATGAATTAAACCAATACACTTTTGCCCCAGATTTTAAGCTGAACTGTCTGTTTTTCTGTCAGTTTTCGAACACCTAACTGAATTTCGAGGGTACCAAATCCAAGGGAGTCAAGGTTTTAAACATGGACCAGCGTCCATTGTTCAGACAATCACCATGTCGGTTCTTGGAACACAATTATACACAATGTACTACTCTTAGCCTTGAACTGAAAACAGCATATAACTCTGAGGCCTGAGAAATTTAATGCCAGCGTTCGACTTCGCAAGACATCACGATGGTGTCACTTAAGATGACTGCAACCACTGGCGTTTGCATTGAACCCTTATAATCGCTATTGCTATTCAGCTGTTTTATAGCAACTGATAGAGGTAACTCTGTCACCTGACTGTCAAGAATTAAACCCCTGTAGAGAGGTGTGATTGGATTAGAGTGTGCAGATAGCATAGTTCTGTTAGGTGAAAAATGGAACCGATACGCTTCTTAGAGCGGTTTCAAAGAAAAGATAATAGAGCTGATTTGTAGATCATGGGTGAGTTCGCTCCCTTTGAGGTGTATGACAGTTTCCCGTCCCCCACTTGGATGAAGACAGTGATATGACTCAGAGCTTAATGTAAATCATGAATATAAACCTGGAGATTTTTTTACGGTCTACTCACGTTTGAGACAAAGTGATTCGAGTCAATAAAAGGATGAGGTAGTGAACTGATTGAGCACGGTGAATACTTTGCTGCTTTTGGAAGTTGTTTTAGTCCTTGCAAACTGTTTGCAGAGAAAAATCCTGCACATACAGATGCTTGAGACCATTCATCATCTTGCCACCTGCTACATGCTGAGGGACAAGTATAATGATTAGCAGTCAATGGTAGTGAGAAATAGATTGTATGTTCATCATGAGTTATCTAAGGGCTAGGTTGACTATCGAACACAAAATCTGATACTTGAGTGCAAGTTTTCACGTCAAGCTGTAAATATATAAGTTAACATTAGTGGAGCTGTACTTCATTGGTCTAGATACAACTAGTGAGTTACGGGTGCGAACCCCATTCTACGTACCAAAGTTTGGGTAGTCAGTTAGCGTTACTAGCCCTCACAGAATCGGCATGACTCATCACCTGGTCCATGAACTTGCATGTAGTTACTCAAACATTTTCCAAGGTAGTATCTTTTTCGTTTATGCAAAAGGACTCCGGCTGTCACATCTCATAACACGCTATCAACCAACAGCTTTAAAATTTTCCAGATGGTTAATCGTTGGTTGAAGACAAAAACACGGCCACAAACTTATCTTCTTATCCACATGTCTTAGCCATTTATCAGTATATAGTCCAGCCTAATTGCTCACAATCATCAGCATTTTGTCTTTTATATTCCCCCGCTGTTGATAATATGTGGCAACCGTGGACAGAGAATGCTACTTCAAAATTCCCCTTTAACTACACTTGAAAGAAAGCATACTTGGGATTATAACAATAAATTTCACGTACGGGTACTATTAGCTCAGGACATCAGCACTTTTGAAATATTCTGTTGTTAGCCAAAATAATCTAATAATCTATTATAAGAAGTGCAACGTAACGTAGCCGTTTGACAGAATTGAAAATTTCTCGTCTTGAAAGGCTCGAGAACGTCCATAACCATATGAAAATAACCGTGATTTTAGAATATATGCTTCTTTCAGAGAGCTAATAACTTTCATTGTCGTTGAATGTCAAGCTTTCCCATATGGGTTATTTTCACATATTAGAAAAACTAAACGTGAGGAATGGGTGAGGACCTGTCGAATCAGATGAAGATTCAGAGAAGCTCATGGAGTCAAGTCCGTCTCTTCGACAACTTCAGTGAAGTTTCCGTAGTAGATGTTTCGCTCTCACCAATTTTATAAGAAATACCCCGCCGATGGTCCAACGCACTATCACAACGGAAGCAGTCTTTCGGCTTTTGATGAACCTTAAACTTGGAAAATCTCTTGGTCCTGATAGCCTGTTGCTAAGGCTGCTGTCCTTTTTAACAGATATTATTGATAGGCTACTTGCTGAACTACCTGACGTCAGAGGGATTAAACTTAAAGATAGTCGTCAGCTACGACTTGAAGGCGCTTGCACACTATAATGAAGCTGTAGTGAAAGAGTTCTGGGCCCTCCGCACCTCTCCGAAGAGCTTCCAAATGCTCTGGAGACATTCTTTCGACATTGTGTCTCTCCTCAAATCCTGCGGTCAGTCCTTGCTTCAAAAGAGATGCTAAGTCATTGAAACGCGTTCAAACAGTCGCTACTAAGTTGGTGGCTGGTTTATCTAAACTATTCTATGAGGATACTTTGAAGGGAGTAAGCCTGTTCCTACTGTCTTACCGCAGAAGGGACCGGCTACCATTAGTATTCTGTACTCCTAGCTTTGGGGATATATTTTATTTCTCATGTCACTCAAAGATCAATTACTCCCGAGGTCACCATAAGAAAACTCAAAAACGACAGTCGAGTCAGAGCATCGTGTGCCGATGCTTCACGCAGAGTGGTTAGGGACTGGAACTCCTTACTCAAACAAAAGATATCAGGTCTATTACTAAAAGCTCTTAAGGGGGAACTAGATCTTTATAGAGAAAAACTTACTGAAAGGATTAACAAAAACCAAATTGACGTGCTATAGTACGTCCTACAGTCCATAGCACTAATAGAATGAGGACCAGTGAGCTGGTCCATTACGCAGTACGGGGTAATAGAGAATTAAAATATTCGCACAGATGCAAGATACCAAAAGAAGTTGAAAATGTGATAATTTAGGTTGTGAATAGAAGTGAGATAAGTAACTTACCGTTTTGCGGCGGTTTGACCGCGTCAGTTTGGTTATACCAACCAGGTTGATAATTTTATATTTACAAGGTAAGTTTCAAAAATTCCGTATAAATCCAGTAGTTTGTATCTGTTTAGATACGAATGAAACACCAAAAGTTTCTTTGTTACTACATCCACCAAAAATGTTTGAACTGAGCGGCGTTGCTCGTATGATTAGTCATTATCAAGGTCAAACGGCCTGCTTTTGGTTGGTTGACCGTTAACAAATTTCTAAACCTGTTATTGGTTGGCTAGTTTACAGGGTTGTACATACGTATGTTTGTCACACAACGTTTGTATTGGACCTCGTTTATTTAAAATAAATGAACTGGTATGTGTCTAAGTGATTATTTATAGTTTGATTTTAATGGGTTCGATGCACTTTAAGCTGTGCTCTACATAAATGAATAGAATAACCTTGGAAAATCAGTAATTGACTTCAGTTCCTATTTTTTCGAGTTAACTCTGTCATAAGCTCGTTATTAAGACAACTCCCAGCAAAGAGATGTGTCGCAAGAACTTCATTGTAATTGTAAAATGTACACTGCATTCATATAAAAACGTAATACTGAAGGGGTGCCATTTGATTGGAATAATGAGCATCTTAAGCAAGGAAAATTTGAAGGTAATAATGCTAAAGAAGTTATTTATATGGATCATTTCAAATGTCGCCTTAAACTTCACAGCGAAAAAAGTATCAAGTGGAAATTCTCAGTTGTCAAATGTAGTTAATATGAGTGTAAACTATCAACAATTGGCTTTTCACTTGAGCAGACAAATGTCAAGTTTAGTGATAAATCAAGAGATCATCTGATACTGGAACCATACTGACTACAGGAAAGGAGTAAAAACGCCTTGTTATGCAATAGGATAGCGTTATTTGGAAGAGCGCACCACACTATACTTACACCATATAGATGGATAGTTATTAGGCATTAAATTTTGTAGTGTGATTCTGTGCATTTTGTAAGCATTCAGGTAGATTTTCGAGCATCTGGCAAACTGTATCTAATGCCTTAGGTAAATTTTTCACTTTCATGGCATACACTGTGATCCTAAACGATTACTTCCAATGACTTCGACCTGAGAAACTTCAGTAACTATGAATTACATGACGATCAATTCTACCTTTACTATTCTAAAGGATCCAAGTGTTAATAGCCTAGATATCTGATAATACTAGCGACAGCTAAGGTATCTAGAAGGGATATGTGTATAGAAGGTTGTCAGAAAAAGAAAAGGGGGGATATCAGTTACAACTATACTCCTTCAATTGTTAATTAAAACAACTTTTGTTCTACTGTGTTATCTGAAATGAACTGAGTATCTTTTGATCACTTACGAAAAAATGCGTAGAAATTCATAAGTTTCTAAATTCTTACCTCATCTTCCTTATTCCAGTCAATATCTTCATCTGTATGTGGACCAAGTGGATCATTAACCGAATCGACTGATGTTAAAGGAGGTGGTGAACAACTTCTAGCCATTTTAAATGTTTGTGTTCCAAGATGAGGTCGTCGTTTGACTACAGCTGACGCTGTACTACCAGTTGTCATTGACTCACGAATTGATCGACGTTTCTGATAATGATAACGCTGTTGTAATCGTAGAAGTGGAGCTTCATTACAGGTTAAATTTCGCATGGAACCAACTCGATATCCAGTCAAGGTATCAACTACTTGATAACGTAACCGTCTAAGTCTTAGGCAGACTTCATTTTTTGCTAAAAGAATAATGAAGTAAATGGTAAATATCTGAAAAAGGAGTTAGTAGTTATCTTGAGGACTAGAGTTTGAGATAAACTTTATGAATTATCACACTTAAAGAAAGAAAAAAAACAAAGTTTTAACAATAAATCTATGAGTACTTACAACGAATATGCTCGACCACATCTTCGTGGTTTAAGTCAACAGCCATTATACCATTCACCTATAGTAAATAAAGTAAGTAATATAAGTCAAGGTGAATATGTGAAGATTGCTTATTCAATTATCAATGTTTAATATTGAAAAAATAGGGCGACTTTAAAGGTCACCACATCAACTACCGAAGTTGCCAATCAGGTGGCCATATTTTGCCTAGGTAAACAATTTTCGATAGAATAGAGGAACGTGATTGGTTATTTTGTCACTTGCTAGGGTGGCCTTTAAAGTCACGCCAAAAATGCATATTGGTCACGACAGGAATGGTATGTGCTTGTTACTCTCCGAATCGAATTGATAATTCCCACTGTGGCATCAAAAACAAGATATTCAGCGAAGAGGACTATTTTCAACGCGGTTATAGTTATAATAATGTTGCTAGTTGATTAGGTAAAGATTGAATGATGACAAGAAGGGTTTTGTTTCAATCGTTCATAGGGTGCATATAGATTTTAAAGGTGTGAAAACATGGTAGATCTAACGAACAATCAAAGTATTAGGTAAGATGAGCGAGCCAGGACCATTGAGATAAATCAAATATTTTGAGGTGAATGAAGATTTTAGTTTTGAGGTCGTATTCATCATGGACTGATATCAGTCAGAGAACCATTGAAAACCTTGGAGCACTGGACAGCTATTTCGTCCTAGTATGAGAATCCTCAGTAGCACACACCCACGACTCCGCTGGGGAGTCGGACTTAGGCCGTTCAGGTTTCATGACGAACACGCTAGTCATTCAACCATTGGGTCAGAGTTCAGCAGTTCAACGGTTCACAGTTTCCAACTTCTGTCAGTTCGCGATATAGCGCGACTATCACCTATAGTGTTCAGATAGCAGCCACTTCCCTTCCAACTAGCTGACCCCATAGGTAACGGCCTCGCATTAGAACTTCGGGGTATCCATCTGCAAGTATGTCACTAATGAGCACTATACAGTGATTGAATGGTTAGTGCGTTCGCCGCGGAATCTGAAGGTCCTAAGTTCGATCCCTAACCGAGTGGTGAGAGTCCAGTGCTCCCAGGTTTCCAATATTCCTCCAACTGATGTCAGTCTGTGATGAATACCACTTCATAAACTGAATTTGTTTTGTTAAAAGTTGAAATTATTTGCAAGGTTAGATGAAGTGACACCAGAAACTATTAAAGATTGTAATAATGATAATGACTGACAAAATGAGAACTCAAAAAAAGAAAGAGAAAAATGAAACAAACTAAGACTAAATTAAGTTGAGGTCAAGGTAGAGACAAAAACTGTACGTACTTTCTTTGTATACAAATGTCAGGCTTCATTTCATGTATAGTCAAGGCGTTCACTGTTTTTAGAAGTTGAAGACAGAAGAAACGTGAAGTCATTGCTCATGTCAGTTGAATGGTTAGAATCAATGAACTGTTCGAGGACAGAACTTCTAATACCTTTCCTTTCACACTTATAAAATTAGGCTGGAATATGTTCCCATATACGTGTTGATATCAATCTCCGGTTACGGCCAATACATAGGTGAACCGGTAGATGCATATGAAGGTGATCTATCGGGGATAATGTCTCTTACATATACAGGGAACAATTTAAGATTAGTAAGCGTCAAATGAAGTTCGGTTACTCAAAAGACCCTATTAAATGATAATTTTTCAGGATGTCTGACGCTACATCATCTTTAAGTTCAAGATTCGTGAAAAAGTTCTTTTTCGAAACTGAACTGATGACTGATTTCTTATGTCTTTCTTGTATATTTTCATCAACCAATCGACAGTTTTTCCATGAGCCTACTTTCTTAGAAAGTGAAGTTCAACTTTCACGCAATCTATGTTATAAATATTTTGTATTCCAAAGCAGAGTGAATACAGCCTAAGAACAAAATTGTTTAAAAGAGTCCCCCTGGTTGGTTATTCAGTCATATGTAATGGTTAATCAGAATATAGTTACCAATTGAATGTTTATACTTTGAATGTAATCCCCTCTGTTACCAATATGTGTTGTTTAACCATGACTAAAGGTTTGTACATTTGTCAACTTACAATATTTTGTAATAATAATGCTAAATTCCCTCAAAATGACTCACTGAATGAGTTATACATCAGTTAAATTAGTGGTTTCTCAGCCAGACGTTTTGACATTCACCTATTTTATGCGCGGAATGAGTAGAAGAGTTCAATGACAGTCAATTGTTTATCACTTCTCATCAACACACAAAGGAATGTAAGATTTGTATTGTGCAAAGTAGGCTTCATACTACAGCAACCGTTTTACAGGGAATTATAGACATACAGTGTTGTGGGCGTTGCTGATCAGAATGGATATAAGTAGTATATATTGAGAGTGCGAAAGAAATCACAGGGAATAACCACCAATGGTTGAAGATTTTATCCATAGAAACGCAAGAAATAATGTGGGCTAACTAAGAGCAATTGAAGGTAGAAGCAGAAGAGGAAATGAGGCACATTATGCAAATGACTGTCTTAGTGGAAAGTGGACAATATTTGACGACTACTGTACAAGATGTCAGTTATAAACACTCCTTCCTTCGTCTGCATCTTGTCGTTTTATACAATTCTTTCAGTTGCAGTATAACGATCAAAACACTGACCTCGAAATAAACAGTAATAAACTAAGAAGTATAGACTTCAAGTGATGATGACAAGTGGCTAGCAATAGATTCCAAGACCTGTGTTACATCTTATTCGCTATTCCTCACCTCCACATACCTACATCTCAGTAAGTAGGCATAACAGTACCAATGACAACTGAAACCATAAATCATCACTTCATACATCACAGCCTCATCATTCACTAGTCCATCAAGCCACTCACCACACCTACTCGCTTCGTCATCCATATACTTCATTCTTATAGCCTGTTGCACATACTCGCTCATCTCATCTCACCGAATCCATCGGTCACTATTGACACATATAGACAGACTCCTCTGTGGATGCCTCCAAATTGCCGGCAATTTCAGTCTCACACAAATGATGGATACAGGACTAGTAGTGGAGTCCTTGCCACCTGTATGGCAGTCACTGCATCCAACCATCAAATTATTAGTATGTAGGATTCAAAATACTTCTGTTTATCTTCCTTTAAGTGTGCTTGAAAAGACCTTTTAAAACATACCTTTCTGTATTGTTATATTTGTGAGTTAACCTTGTCGCGAATTTGTTGTAACTTTGGTTGTAATTGGTCGAAACACGTGATGCTGCTGACCTTGAATGTGATTGGTCTCCAGTGTATTTGGATGGCAGAAGATTCGCCTGACCCCATTTCAATGTCTACTTATGTGCCAAATATTTTGGATACAGTCTACTAATTAGTGAATATTTTTACCCTAGATTACTTTTAGTTCTTCACCTTACTTAAAACCCTCCATTCAGTCAGATAATCTTGAACTACTTCAATTTAAGAAAAAAATGTTTTGCTTACAGATAAGAAACGATTTATTTTAAAAGTTGGACGAGATGTTTTTGCAACCTTCAATCTCGGTAAGATATGTAAAAGAATTCAGTTCATAATTCAACTGACGTTGAACCATGATGAAAATCACCTTGAAATTGATTATTTCTCTACAAATTAACTACTTGAATAAGAAAATTCCATAACCGTTAGTAACCTCGCCTGGTTAACTAGTACACTAGTTACTAGCCGGTCCTAAGCCCGGATTAAGAGGGTAGGTTGGGCATAGGGCTAGCAACCCTACCCCGTAAAACCAATCCAATCGATAAAAAAACTTTAAAGCACAAACAAAATATTAAAAATAAAAATAAAATTATACCTCGCTGGAATTGGAGAGGCGAAATGACGCCAGTTGGTGAAAGCCTGCTTTCGGGA